GAGCTTGTCTCAAGCCATTCATCACCCACCCATTTTGTCAGATGTGTGTCTGTATATTTGTCAAATTAAAGCTTTATATCTCCTGCCTTGTTTCTTACCTTAAACTGCCATATCTTTCTGAAGTTCCTCACTCTCCCCTCCTATTTCAGCTAGCCCATGCAATATTTTTGTCAAACATGAGCAGCTGTTAATTTTCTTTTTCCAGGAGACTTAATGGAGACGTTAGTTCCACATCCCGAATTCAAGATGTTGGGTCTTCGTAACATACCTCAGATGCCTGAAAACTCCCTTGCTTACAGCACATTCAGTTGGCCTGGACTCATCAAACATTTAAGGCAGATGCTGATTGCTAATGCTAAAATGGAGGAAGGTAAAAAGCATTCACTCATCTTCAGTATCCATCATTCTTTAAGCATATGTTTTTACAGATTAAATAAAGCTTCTTGTTTTGTGGAGCTCACTGACAGCTTTAGTCAGTTCAGAAACGGGTTGGTGCCCTCAGACAGGAGGAATTTGCCTCCACATAACCAGCTGCTCCTTTAACTATTCACTCAGCTGCCACCGCAGCTCCCAGCTTGTTCCCGTTTTTGCTCCCAGACATCTCAGTTAATTATAACTATTGAAAATATGCAAACCAAACCAGCAGTTTTTGGCTGTGCACTTAATTTACATGATTCATTTGGAACATTCCTTGGATACTTTGTTCTGCTATCCTTTTTACACCTTCTACTAATAAAAACCACGCTTAGCTCTCCCGTATCGTTTACATGGGGAATTCAATGTAGCTTCCAGTTATGCAAAGAATGGGCTGGCAGGTTGCTAAGTATAGAAACACATATCCATTTTCTCTGGTAAGACGAGTGACTACCAGGCAAATGCTGCTGGATTAGCACCAGTTTTCTCTGAAAATTGTGTAATTGCTGCTTAACTAATGTGCAGAAACTACAAACTCTAACATGATCTCAGTGTCATTTACCAGCTGACCCTTCAGCTACTCTGCATCCATATTACATTAAACTTTTTAATATATTTTTTGCCAAAATCTCATAGGTATCGATTGGCAAGTACAACCACCACGTCTAGGCTCCTCCATCCCCTCCAGTCATTCCACAAACAAACCCCTGCATTTCAATACTTCCATTGCCAACCTGGTTATCCTGCGAGGAAAAGATATGCACAGCGCAGACTTGGGTAAGAAGGAGGAACACTGCCTTGGTGATTCTTGGTTTGCATCTCACCATATCTGATGAAAAGTGGAAAAAAAAAAAGCCACTCTGCAGATTTGTTTTTTCAAGGCCTGAATTGATCTGCCAAGTATCGATTAGGTCACACAGGACTACTGAGAGCAAGAGGTAGGAGCTTGTAGCTTTACATTTGTCAACAGGGCTGTCTTATTTCTGCTACAGGAAGTTTCCGAGATCCCTCATTATACACATCATGGCTAAACCCTCAGGATGCTTTTAATGCGTGGAAAACACCAAGAGCATTTAACAAGTATGAAAAGTCTGCTTCTTTGGTCAGCAATAGCCAGTTCCTGTTGAAACCTCTTGACAGCGTTGTAGGAAAAGCTTGGAATATGTTTGCTTCCAAGTAAGTGAAAATAATTCTGCTGATACCTCATTTATAACTGCCAGTATCTTCAGTGTAATCATTGTAAATACCGCTCACTCTTTCAGCAAAGTCAAGTCATGGTGAATAAGCATGAACACTGTTCCCACACTTTAGTGGAAACATTTTTTTATGCTTGAAACGTGATGGCAGGGTGAGGAACACAGAACAGTGCTTATGTTCTGTGGATAAGTGAGACCACATATTCTAGGGCTCTCAATTTGACTATTTTCTCAATACTAAACCGCCCCAAATTTAGTGCATTCCAGTGTGACCATTCCAAAAATAACGTACAGAAACTCTTTCACTGATCATACAGTTTCTAGTGTGTACAGGCATGCTGCACAGTCTGGGGAAACAAGTTCCTGGCTCAGTTCAGAAGCATTTAGGGGATTTCTGTGATTACTAAGGCTCTCATGCTATTAGTTTGATTTTTCATTGGAACCAAGAAATCTAGAAAACAATCGCCTCTCTACTTTGATCATCATGAAGCCAAGGTTACAGCATGTCTCAGCAGATGTCTGTTAAACACCAGTTTCTAGCACTGGAATTCTGCAGGGAAAAGCCAAGGGAGGAAAACTGCTTCCACTAGCTTAGCTCCCAGTTGTACCACCTGCTACGAAACCACCAGTGAGGAGAAGCAAGTTATCCTGCACACAGATTTAGGCTTTGCATCTCAAATCTGTAAATTACTTATTTAATAATCACGTCTCCTTCCATTTCGCTGTTGGCTCAATTCTGTTAGCTGCAATTTTGTTTCCTTAAGCAATACACAAAGTATTAAAAGCTGTTAGATACAAGTCATGACTTACCAATAAGTATGAATTACAAAATGAGTTCCAGAGAACAGAGCAGAAACTAACCAGCAGGGTTACTGGGTGGAAACCAATCTTCATTCGAAATTGTTACTGTAAATGTACAATCTGATTTCATGTGTCAGATTCTTCACTGATTCCTAATGTCTTACCCATTTTCCTACTGTGACTTCAACACACAGAGCCTATATTCACCAGTACACTAAGTTTGGAATCGAAGAGGAAGATTTCCTGGACAGCTTCACAGCTCTGGAACAAGTTATCTCCAGTTATACCATCCTTTGATTTTTTTTTTTTAAATGCTCTGACATAGAGCTTTCCTGAAAACCCAGCGCTGGAAAACCTTCCCTCACCTTCCTGAAGTAGTTAAATTACTGGACTGTAACTATTTTTCAGCCTTGTAAGCAGTGCGTGCGTGTGTTAGAATAATAAGAACTGAATACATTCATATGGGCAGGTATTATTCATATTAAATATATCTAATAAATAGCTATTTTCCATACATTTGCTATGTACTGTAGCCAAGTCTTTGAATATAATTTTTGGCATTTGGATATTTTTCATTAAGATGGTCTATACAGAAGGATTTTTTTCTCCAGACTAAACTCTCAGCATCTGAACTGCCATGAACTAATCTGTGATAAAAATTAAATGTGTGCTTGAGTACAGTAGCAGGGTATTCCTGATCTTCCAACTTCAATTTTTCATTATAACACTTTGTCCTAGAATGCTTCAATATTGATAAAAAAGCACATTTTTTTATTAATCCAAACTCCATTTGGGTATCATTCAAGAGACAACAGTCTGGCACCTGTTCTTTAAAGCAAAGTAAGACCTGAATTCTACTTTAAGGGCCTTAACTTTGACAAAATAGTTTTGAACCATCTTTTAAAAAAAACAAATGTGAAGGGTTCTTCATTTTCCTGTCATCCTCAAGTTACATTAGAGAGTCTAACGGGTTATGTGCTTTTCTGGACATTTCCCTGTGCCATGTTTTCAAGTGCTGTTACCTGCCAATTGAAAAATAAAATATCCCTTTAGTACCTGAGCGGTCTCGGTGAACCACAGGTTCAGGCAAAACTACAACTCTTGCTCTTCCTCCTGCAAGTTAGAAGCAGGATTTTTTAATTATTATTATTAATTTGTTATTTATTTAAACAGATCTGGGAGAAGAACCACTGGCAGACTGCAGATGTAAGAGCTTGTAATATAAGAAATAGAATAGATGGTATCAATTGCAAAGTGGATTTAAGAAAGCGGCTCTTTTTTGCACGAATTTTACCACGACCACAAGGTGGTGCCTCTGTGAAGCTGCAGCCTGACAGGAGGAGGAGATTTGCAATAGCTCCTAAAATTTAAGAGTACAGGACTTAAAGATTATGTTGTAACATTGAGCTTTCTTCCACCTCTGTTAGCTTTTCACCTAATGGTAGGGAGAACTTTTGGAATTCCTGCCATCCCTCCCACCATGTCACCCTGTTCTTCCATGAAAATAAATATTAAATAGGTATGCCAAGAATAAAAGTTTAAAAATCAGTCTCAAGGACTTTTCCCTTGAGAACTGGACAAATCTCATAGTCTCCCTTTAGGTTTTAGTGCTGTTTCATGCCAGACCTCTAAGCTTTTACCTAAAAAATGAGCACGCTATAGTATGATACTAAGTACGTTAAGGAGGTTTGCAATGGGACTAACAATGCACATAGAAATATTGCCCTGTTAGATCATGATTTAGGTTTTAAATCTTTAATGAATTACCACAGCGGCAGATGCAGGAGTGACCTTGTAGCTCTGCTGGGCTTCAGCCAGAGCACAGCAGATGCTCTGTATTACTCCATTTCCTTTCCTGGTTTCATTTACCTTTTCACTTTTGTTCAGGCCAGGTACAGAAGCACTAAAATCACCCACCCCTGGAGCACCTGTTCTCAAAGCAGCTCTGGCACAGGACACCTGGAATGACAAACAGATTCTTGACAAGATTCAAGTCACTCTACAATTGAACCTGAAAAAAATAAGTAAGTACTGGGGCTAAGATCACAATTGCTCAAATACACCCACAGGAACAACTGATCACCAGCATGGCTGTTGTTTCAGTGCAAGCCACCATGGATTCTGGTAAATTTCATGATAGCTTATAAACAAGCAATGTTAATCTCTGGTACCTTCCAAAAACAAACAATCAAACAAACAGTTCAACTGCCTGTTAGTAGCAGGGCAACATTAGAGCTGAGTCAAGTCCTAGTTCATGCAGAAAAATTACCTGTGTAAATTAAGAGCTTCAATTCAATAACTAAATCACAAAATATACAGGGGAATGAGAATCATTCGTGGGGTGGTGGGGAGAACACAAGAGGGAAGGCAAAGAGGAGAAAGCAGACATGGTAAATATACCAAATAACTTTTTATATTAAAAGACATTTGACATTTATGACAAAACATTTTGACAATATTCTTCTTGCAGAGCACAGTCCATAACCAGACAACTCAAGTCCGATTTGCTTTCTGTTTTCACTCAGCTGCTTTAATTCCTGTTTTAGGAACTCCCTCTCAAAAGGGGAAGACACAGTAATCATAGTTCAAGCCCTGTACTGCTTAGTAACATTTGAGCTGTTTGGAAGTTTAAAACTACATGTAGCTTTTGTTATAAAATGTTATTTATGATATTTAATATATTTTTCACTGTATCACTTCCTGGCAGTTCAGAGCTGGGAGACTGTTCTGATCAACAGGGCTTTTCTAGTGTGTGTTTTCTGGAGGAAAGATTGCACAAGAAGTTGAGATAAACAGCACAAGCAATTCAAGTTTGTAAGGAACAAAGGGTCAGGAAAGGAGACAGTATGGTGAGGTTCTCCATCCTCCCTCCTTCAAAAGACACAGGATGTTTAGCAACATATAAATAATTTTCCCTGGTGTTTTCAACAGACATCAGACTGAGAACTTCTTCTAGTATCAGAAATGAGAATGGGTAACTCCACATCTGAAAGAATGGCCAAGTCCCAGGAATGGATACTCTTCCTCATTAGTCCACAAGACAGGTAAAAGAGATTTTTTAAAAAGTCCTCTCAGAAACAAGGAAGAGAGCAATGGGTATTGTACTGCTGCATCAATAAGGAACTTCACTGCAGAAATAACCTGGCCTTATCTCTACGTATTTCTCATTCTGAGCATGAAGCAAACACAGCACACACGAGTGACACAGACCCATCTATCCATTCTTTCTAAGTACATTGATTATTTATGGCTGATGTCACTTCTAGTTAAAGGAGCAGGTTATTTGGGGGGTTTGTTTGTTTACTTTTGATGGCAGAATTTGGGCCACATCAGGAAACACAGCACACAGCTACCATGTATAACCCCAAAGCAAAAACGAACATGTTCTTGTTTAATCTCTATCATAACATATGGAAACAACAAGGAGAGATTCAGCAGCTCAAAGACAGAGCTAGGCCAACAGGCTGACTGTGCTTAACAAGAGGATACTTGTGTAAGAACTTGTTCACACTTAGGATTCGGGGAAAATATTCCTACTTCCTGGGAAAACCCAAGTTTTTCAAAGCAGCAATAGAGGATCACAACCTTCAGCCAAATTTTGACTACACAGATTCCTCAAAACTACCAAAAAAAAAGGGAGGTGAAAACAAAAGTGTAGCTGTTGTATTAGCTGTTATAATCCTTTTTATTGCTCTGGAAAAGAGACCGACAGGAATAGTTTTAGGCATCACCAGCCTTCTTCCTGTTAGTGTTTTTCACTGATGACCTCAGTTTTGAAATTCTCACACCCTTTCCCAAACTGAGCCTTAATTTTTTGATCTATGGCTGGATTCCTCCATTTCTTTTCCCCAGGATGTGGAGAGGAGAGGGTCAAAGTGACAGGAAGTGAAGAGCTATTATCAGATTTTCATCATCTAAATTCTATCAGAAGGTGGAATAGTCATTTTCTATTTTATTGCAAAAAATAATTATGTAAATAGCCTGAGCCTGGCAGAGGGCCTTTATTTAATTAGAAATTAAAACTAACGAGGTAGATCAAGGGTCAGCACAGGCCACTCACTCACTGAGGCAGGGACAACAGAATCAGTGGCCTTGACCTCACTAGTTTTAGGCAAACTACCCACAGGATGTCCATAAACCCAGGAACAATGCATCAAATCTCACTATTGTTTTTGTAAGGGACAGGTGCAGCTCACTGGGAAGTTGATTCAAGGGCTCTGACTATAGCAGATATATTTCATGAACAGAATAACTTTTATTTGTCCACATAAAAAACAGGAACAAAAAATTAACCTGTTAGAAATACTTTAAACATAGGAACTGTTTGGCAAGCGACAGGGCACTAATGTAGTTACAGATCCAATTTATCTGGACTTGAGTAGACATTGGTGTTGATAAGGTCAGACTGCCTAGCAGTGCAGAAAGGGTAGAATCTTCTGTAAATAAATAAGAGGACTGATCATCTGCACAGATTTACCAAACTGAAACAGCTCAAGATTAAGGGCAAAGATCTGTGGTTTCCACACCAACTGGGATTTTATCATTAAGAAGGAAGTGATGTTCAAATTACCGGCTGATACTCTACTGGGAAATACTAAAATACAAAAGTATATTGAATGAATAATTCATTTCCTTCTGCATTTCTTCATAATATTTATCTATACTCAATTGATTAAATGAGGGACCAAACATCCAGAAGGAAATATTCTGTGTGTCACAGTGTACTGCAAAGAACTCTGCATTTCACTGGACACCACTTTAAAAACTGCACAAGAGTCCTCAGCAGTGTGATTCGTGGATCTGACACGGAACTGAGCTGCTGCTTTTCCTTCACTGCTTTCAAGGGCAGCTTTTCAGACAGCTTCACCAAGGCAGCAAATTCCAGTGGAGACTTCCTCCTCAAGCCTCCTGGCTTCCTACCCCACCTCTGCCCACGCTCCAGAAGCGCAGCCTGGACACTCAGACAGCTTTTAACTTGCCTGGATATAGAGCTGATAATCCTGAATTTGAACTATGGAGCCTTTCCGGCTCTTTCAGTCAAACTCAGAGTTCACAATGGTCCCTTCTGATTTCACATTGTATGAATCCTCTCCCTCTAGACAGCCACTTCCCCTCTATCCGGGTGGGGTAATGAGTCACCTACCTCCGTGAATCAGCAGAACCTGCTTAACCCTTTCCCAGAAGCAGGAACAGCTGCAAATAGGGTGGTGTTTCAAAGAAACGTTACTGCCAGCCATGGGGAGCACACTGGAAGAGGTGAAGATGGCCTAAGATAAGAGATCTGAGAGGCTGCTGCTGCTGCTGCTCATTAGGAAATTTAAAGACAAGTATAAATACAATCCATGATAAAGATCAGGGAAGAAGTCTAAACCTTAACCCCATAGTTCATACAAGCTTGAGAGATTCTAAACAGTGACTTCTAAGAGTCTAGCAGTAAAGGCACAGGCCTCACT